CCTCTGCAGTGAATGGGTGCCGTCAGAATGAGAGTCCAAACAGCTGATAAAAACATCACAATAGTCCACAAGTAACCAACTCCAGTCCATCAGTTGTCTTGTGAAAAAAGTTGTTCATAATACAAGTCCTCTATGCAAAATATTACTTCCTCCAGTAAAAAGAAAAACAAGGTTGCTTGAAATATGCACAGATCAAGCAATGTTTACAAGAAAAAAGTAAAGTCCAAAGCCGTTATAAACATGTGAGTGAATTTTGATGTTAGAGGACAGAGGATGGGCTTTTTCCACTTGAGGAAGCTCTATGGATTTTTGCCAAAAGCAACGTTTTAAAGTTAAAACATCTCAATGATGGATTTGTTTTATGCAAACACACACCTTTTGGCTTCACAAGATGTTAATTGATGAACTGGAGTCACGTGGATTATTGTGATGTTTTTATCAGCTGTTTGGACTCTCATTCTGACGGCACCCATTCACTGTAGAGCATCCATTGGTCAGCAAGTGATGTAATGCTACATTTCAAGAAACAAACTCATGTACGTCTTGGATCGCCTGAGGGTGAGTATATTTATAGCAAATTAAAATTTTTGGGGGGTGAACTATTCCTAAAATAGCATTTCCTTGTATGGATTTTACACCCTTCTATACCCCCATTACTGCTGCAGATATGAGTTTACGGGTTATTTTAGTGTGTATATCTGCTCTCTCGTGCCATGTTTTTCCTTCTAAGGCATCAGTTCCTAAGCAGCTGTTACCAGCTGAAGAACAGAACTTCATCTAATCACAACACAACCGCAGATCTGGCCTGTGAAAAGCTGGTGTTTATTTGAACAGGGCTATTGTTTTCAAACTACATCTGAAAGAATATTGGTGGGTAATTCAATTTATTTGAATGGTGCTTGCACAATACATTGTTCCAAGTCAATGTAAATAGCATCTTACTAACTCCCAAGTGAGCAAACAGGCAAAGGAAAAACCCCTCGGATGTACAAGCAGACAAGGAAGAAACCTAACAAGGGAACCAAGGCTCCACAAGGGAAATCCTCCTCATCTGGCACACATTTAAAGTCCATGTTTGTTTTATATGCTGGTGTACTCCTAAAAAGTTGATTTTCAAAAGTTTGAACAAGATCTTAAATATTATTCGGCAAGGATCCAATCAAAACAGGCTGTAAAGACATTTAAAATGTTAACGTTTTCTATTTAAAAAAGGCCGTTCTTTTGAAGTTATGTATTTTTTTAAATCTGGACAAAATGTATCCGTTTCCACAAAAATATTAAGCAGCACAACTGTTGATGATAAATGTTTCTTGAGCAGTAAATCAGCATATCAGAATGATTTCTGAAGGATCATGTGACACTGAAGACTGGAGTAATGATGCTGAAAATTCAGCTTTACATCCCAGAAATAAAATTTTAAATATATTGAAATCGAAAACTACTATTTGAAATTGCAAGATTTCACAATATTACTTTTACGGTATTTTTGATCAAAAATGCAGCCTCAGTGAGCAGCATCACTATACATAGCCTACTAGCCTATATACTGTAGAAATGAATAGTACTATGTAGTATGCTGTTTTGACCATAGCCATGATGTCAATAATGTAGAGAACTAGTGTTCGTGAACGTATCAAACGTATCCACCTTATTTTAACGTAGTTAAGAGCGGGGGCAAGTTCAAGCTCAAACCGGTGTGCACCGTTTTGCTACGGTTTCCGGTTTGAACGACATGTTTCCTGGAAACGGTGTGCAATGGGGTTTGAGATGCGTTTTCTCTTGTTTGGTGGGTGTGTCAAACATGTCAGCCCAATCAGCAGCAACATGTATATAAACCACGTGGTATTAAAGAGACAGATCGCACAATGTAATTAACATCCAAATAAATTCACAAGAGCAAATATATTGTGTGCACATGTTTATTTACATTAAAGGCAAAATAACTGAAATAATAAGAGCACAAGTATAGATCTGGAACTTCTTTAAGTCTGTCTAAATATCATTTAGTAATTGCAATGTCTTCTGGTCCATATCCTTTCCTTAGGAAGGTGTGCTAAATACTGATTAATGTAACATAAAAATACTATACATATTTATATATTTTGCTATTGTATT